TTTTAGGGGAGTTAATGCTTGGTAATAGCTCTGACTTTCTTTTTCTTTACTCGGTCTTGTACATCCCATGCTAGGGGCTAGGGGAATACTAGGACACCACGTGGTGCAGGAAAATTATATAGGAAGTGTTCAATATATAGAAAGTTCATTGCAGTGTGGAGCAATTCTTACCCTGTTTGCTATTGGATAATTTCAGAACAATTAACTAGAGAGCTGAATGGAAAAATAACAATAATTTCCTTTAACGTGTTCTTTTACTCTTTTATAATGACATGCTGTCTCCTTTTGCACTCTTTTCTCCTTTCTTTTTGTTATTATTTAGCATTCATAAAACAAAAAATAATGCATTGTAGTCTCTGATGGAAAAAAAAATGGTTAGTCTTAAAGACTGTCCCCTTCTTTTTCCTCTGCATTGCTGGGTAGACTGCTCTGCATCCTGATGCCCTTCTCAATCTTGTGCTTTGGTCCTGCATGCTTGTTACACGTTTTCTGTCTGCGTCTTCTCCAGCTCTCTGAGATGTTCCTTTGCTGCTGGTAACTGATACTCTTCCTCAGAAAGGTATCTTTTATTCTATCTGTTCACAATATCTCTATTTCAGTGACAGTAATCGACTTCTTTCTTGTTTCTATCTGCTTTTATTGATTCTTCCAAAAAATGGAAGACCAGTAAAAAAAATAAAAAATAAATAAAAAGAATGCAGAAGGACTTTATATTGTTATTAACTGAGCAAAGCTGATTTTTAGGAATCGATTGATAAAGGTGTTATTATGTAATACTCAGCAAGGTAATTTAAAGCTTGTATTCTGTATATGTTAAAATGAGAGAGCCCAATCTTTCAAAAATTTTCATTTTCTTGAATTCTCATGAATCCTAGAATATCTGGACTAGACTAATCTGATAGAGGAGCTCTTACATTTTTCATCATGCAGCAGCACAGCACTCGTCTCAAAACACTACTTGCTTTCAGTTGTTGTTAGCATCATTTCACTAGCGATGAATTAGGAAACGTTGAAAAGAAAATGTCACTACACAGTAAGAATTGAAAGATTTATGCTCTTGATTGAATTGCTTTGCAATTTAATTTTATTTACTTACAACTTATAGCATTATAAGCTCAAAATTCTTCACTTCTTCCTCAAACTTGTAAAATGGTGGTCACTTAGGAAAGTGACCTTTTCTCAAGTAGAAAGAAGGAATGACTATTAAAAGGATGGACTATTAAAAGGGATGACTATTAAGAAGGGATGACTATTAAAAGTGCTGATCAAATTCACACTGTTGACAAAACTCTTACTTTGGTGCAAAGGGATTTCATTTTTTTCACTGGCACATTTGAAATACAAGAGAATTTGAATTACATGTTCTCATATAGGAGAAAACTTTGCCTGAGTTTTGGAATTTCAGCGCCTGCCTACAGGCACATCCTGCAAGGGAACCCCAATGCTCTCCCCCTGACATTTTGTAAGAGCCCTGAGCGCACTCCCCTCAGCCTGGCGCTGGGCTGCCTGGGCTCCGTGCCAGCTTTGCTAGTGCAGCTCTCCAGCTCTGAATCAAAGAGCAGTTTGATAAAAAGCTGTGAGAAGCCTCAGCAGGGCATCCCCTCCTGCCTCTCCAGAGCTGTGGGGTTTTTTTCTCCCTTTTTCTCCATATTGTTTTCCAAGAGATGCTGGGGACTCGCTCTTGGTCTCTGCTCAAGCAGCAGTGCAGGTGCACGTTTACCTGGTCCGCCACCTCCCTGATTCTGAACCTGACTCTGAGCTGCTGACTTGCCTTTTTGGCTTGACCTCAGACCTCCCGTATGGCTGCAGACTTGCCTGGCAATCTGAACTTGTGCTTGGATGGGATCTGCTCTGCTCTCGTGCAGGTACTTGGTGCAGACACGCTCCTGCCTGCTCCCTGTGGCTTCCAGCTCATCCAGCTTCCCTTGCTGAGCATGAGTAGGCTGCCCTTGCTGCTCCCTGACACTGCTATCAAGGCTTTTTCATTAGGATTTGGAGCCTCTTGGCTGATTTATTCCATATTACCTTTCTTTTGGAAATGACACTGGCCTTAAGAGGAAAGGTAGTTTTGCTCTGGACCTATATCTTAACCTTACTGCCTTTTTTTTTTTTTTTTCCCCCACACACTATTCTTAAGTACAGTCAGGTATCTCTGTAATACTGTTTCCTGTAGTATGGACTAGTGAACAGGATGAGGACAGAGGTGATAAACCTAACTGTAGCATGAATGTTAGTGTAAGTAATGCTAATATGGTTACCTAAGAAATATCATACAGGGGAAATCTATTTTGCATTTCCACAGTGCCGCCTACCTTTCCATACACATATATCCCCACATATAAAATGAAAAGGAGAAAGCAGCATTCCTGTGAAGTCCCTGACGGGGGTAGTTTGACTGGAGCTATACTGGAACACATGCAAGTTTGCGAGCTGTCTTCAAACTGTCTTAAAACTCACAAGTACAACCTGTGACTTAAAAGACTCACAAGTATGACTCTACAAATAGGATCTTGCTCTCAGCATGAGCTCTTGGAAGCCAGGCAAACCCAGAAAAACTTATGCTAATGATATTACTTAAACAAAACTTAGAGGAGTATTCAATGGTAGAGTGATTGCAATTTCAAATTCAAAGTGTTTGCTGTTCTTGTGTAGTGGTTAATTACATTTATATTCAGGCTCTATAAAATTCCTTTTCTAGTGCTTATCTTCATGTGTGCACCTCTGTCCAATTCCTAATATCACACTGGGTTGGCAGTCATTAATAAATGATAGTATTTCACACCATTTATTTTGGGTCTGATGCTAGCCTTTCTCTTATTCCTCAAGTATATTACTGGAAAACATAATAGAGTGTTATCTGCTTACACTCTTGTTTTCCTTATCTAAGATATATTAATCTATTAGTATGTCATTAATCTAAGATATAGTACTACAAGTTTGTGTAATATCATGAAATGCAATTGGGGATGTTTTCTCTGCAATATTTTCAGAAATCAAAATAACAATTGCATCATACAACATCCAAAATACAGTTTATTTTAATCAAATGAATGCGAAGAACCTTCAAAAATGTTTTTTTTCTTCTCATAATGTTTGAGCAGGTGGAAAATCTGGAGTCTGATTATTCCTAGGAATTCCTCTACCTCTGCCTTTTCTCTGAGGGTGTTATGTAGGTACTCAGAGAGAAGACTGGAAGACTGTGTCTCGCAGAGTGGAAGTAGCATCCAACCATTTCCTGCTCTAATGCAAATAAGGCTTAAATCTGAATAAATGGCCTCCAAAAACTTAGGAAATTTACAAGTTTAAATATAGTTTTTAGACACTTCTTCAAGCTGTGTTGGACATGGAGACTTCTGTGGATCTGAATGAATATCACTGACTCTGCCTTTCCTCAGTTTGTATTGCTAGATCTGAAATCACAAGCAGGCTTTATGTAGAGATTCATATCAAAAATACATGTGGCCTCTGAGCAGCTTCCCAAATGCTTTCTCTAACACTTCTATAATGTATGCATGGATCTTTGAGCAGAATAACCATGTTCTTTGTGGAGAGGTGATAATACTGTTGAGATTGTTGTAAGAAAACAGTTGTTTGAGCATTAAAAATAATTTAAATTTGTACAAAACAAAATGCCAGCACACATTCTGAATTAAATGTTAGTCAACAATTCTGTATTGCAAAATAGCTGTGCCTTCCAAAACATTTATTTTTCCACATTTTTTTCCCCTTGGAATATACTATGTATATTTACGTTATTAGAAGCAAAACTAATCATTCAACATAGCATTTAAACAATATTCTGAGGAAAAATAGGCCTGAAAATGTTACATTTCCTAGGAAAGCGCAGATAACACCCAGTACATTGTGATAAAATAATAATAGGACAGTACTGAGTGTGCTCCCTACAGTCTACAGGGGTTTGATCTTCTACTTTGGGTATTAAGTATTCAGTGCAAATAGAAATTTTTAACTGTAATATATGTGCATTTACTCTCTCCTCCCAATACCAATTAATCCCATAGCATATGACCCAGCTCCTTAAAAATCTCTTTTGCAACAATTACAATAAAATCACATGAGAAGCTATTTACATTAAGTGTGTAGATACAAAACAGATCATTTACTTTGAAAAGAAAGAAAAGCTTCACTCTGAAGCTGTGCTCAGCTGTGAGGGGATGTCATCAGTGTGAGGCAACACACGGTGCTCTTTCAACTTTCCTGTGTGGCTATAGATGAATAATCATGAATAATCCCCAATCCATGTCATAATCTATTTATCGTAATACAGAGCTAGAATGGGTGTTGATAACGAGTGTGGTTAACTGCATCAGCAATGAATATGATGGCACTGAAGTCTGTTTTGCATGTCTGTTTTTTTTTTTTCAAGGTTTCTCTGCACCTCTAGAATGATCTGAGTACTCAAGCAAGTTTATTGCAGCCTGTTATCACCACACTTGCAGAACTGTGTATTATAAGAATACTTGCATTGGGATCATAACATTAGTAGTTTAGCTAGAAAAAGCCTGCTGGGCAGAAAGAAGAAAAAGGCTTATGAGCCTCGGTCTTCTACAACAGCTGTAATTTATGTATATATTGTTGTGTTTCAGAATACAAATGCTCGAGTACCAGGTATTCCCTTGTAGTTAAACCTCCCGAGAGAAATGCTGCAGACCATTTCCTCTGTCCACACAGCTATTTTCTTCTGTTTCTGCATTAGTCTTTTCTGACTTAATGTGATCCCTGCCTTTCCTTTTACTGACCCGAGCTGGTAGTAATAGCTGCTCTGTGTCTTTCCCAATTGAGATTATTATCCGTAGCTCATGCATGCAGCTCTTTTGCGCCGGAACACCTGGCAGGATCGCGAACGTTACATTTCCTAGGAAAGCGCAGATAACCCCCAGGGATCGAGCGGGACGCCCCGACGGTCGCCCCGGCGCCCTCGGTGCGATCCCGCGGCTCCGGCGCCCCCCGCGGCCGCCCCCGCGCGGATCCGCACTCACCTGAGCAGCAGGGCCGCTTCCCACAGGCAGAAG